GGTGGGGAGGGGTGGGCATTTGTAATCGGAAAGACACAGGGGAGCACGGAGGGGAGTTGATGTTGAGGGGGAACTGCCAGGACTGGTAAGGGCAAGCAGGGCTGCGGGTGGACGGGCGCGGTGCCTGTCACGCGGGATTTCTTGAGTTCGGTGACAGGGCGCCGCCCGCACTATGCACAACCCCCTGCATGACCTTGCCCCCGTCCCTTTGACACCCACACGTGCACAAACACGCACTTCGACACCCAATGACTTTTTCACAAGCCACATGACACCCAAGACCACAATCTATTACCCAAACACACTCCTACCCAAGCTCAACACAACCAACCACCTCACCCATCCCTGCACTCCCACTCCCAATTACCACACCCTGGCCAAACAGACCCACACACGACACACATGCAGGCGCGCACGCACACACACACACACACACACACACACACACACACACACACACACACATGCGCACACATGCGCACACACGCTCACGCTCATTCAAACACGCACGCACATACACACACACTCTCACACAAAGCTGCACCTGCTTGCTGTAGCAGCTCTTCCCGCTGGCGTTGGGCCCCGTCACCACGTGGACACGGGGGCCGGCCAGGGGCATGGCCGTGTCGTTGGGCACAAAGCCAGAGGGCCCCGCGATGAGCTCAGCCAGGGGGTGGCGGCCTGGGGGTTGGGGTCAATGGGGGCGTGTCAGCGCAGCAAGGCGCGGTGGGGCGGAGGAATAAAGGGGTGCAGCTGCGCGCCAGCTGTAAGGCAAGGCGAGCCACTTGCAGTGGGCCGGAGCTGAACAGGCACATGCAGTTCCCGTTGTCTGCGCGACATGTGTTTGGGGGGTTACCCACTCCAGATAAAGTGGCTGGGCTTGCAATGCCACCACGCAACAACCTACCTGACGCGCGCGCACACACACACTCTCTCACACACACACACACACACACACACACACACACACACACACACCATGCAAATTCAGCATGCTCGGCATGCCACGCCCAACCTTCGTGTCTTCGCCACCTGCGACTCTCCCCTGCATGCACCTGCTAAGCAGCCCAACCCTGGACCTTCTGCAAAGCTTGGACCTCAATCCAACGCCTTAACTAATACCCATCCAGCCCTGGAGTGTCAGCCCCAAACTCCCGGGCCTCACCCCCCACAATCTCCAGCACGGGCTCCTCCACCAGCACCGGCCTGCAGTACCCGTTGTCCCGCGCCACATCAGCCAGCGCCAGCAGGCAGTCCAGCTCGGCAGCCGCCCCGGACGCCGCGTTGAGCGCGGCGCGGAAGGCGAGCAGGCGCCTGATCAGCTCCGTGCAGATGCTGGACTGCAGTGAGGGTGGCACGTGAGGGGCGGGGAAGGGGTTGAGCAGGAGCAAGGGGCCAAGGCAACAGGGTCAGAGAGGAGCTGGAGAGCGCAGCTGGGAGAATGGCTGGAAGCTGTCGCGGGGTCCGCTGTGCAGGTGCAGGTTTATAGGTGGGCGAGGGGGTTGGTGGGTGGGGAAAAGGCGTTGGGTTGAAGAACAAGGATCGCGCGGTGCCAGGTGGCTGTGGGGCCCGTGATAGCGGCGCGTGCGGGACGATTGGAGGCTGCGGCATAATCAGTTTGAACGTGTTTTTAGTAAAGGGTGTGGCACTTTGAGTGGAGGGCACCTCAGACAATTCAGAGGGCCTGCTGTCCTGAACACACCAACTTGATTGTGTTGGGGTCAAGTAAGCACTGCCCTAGCACAGCTCCATGCCGCCGTGTTGGTTGCAGTCGCCTACTAAGCTCGCAGCCCCTCAAAGTACTCCGCCGGCCGGCCCACCCCTCCATCCGACCACCCTCACGGTGCAGCACCCACACTGGCTCACCTCCAGGTCTCTCATCTTGTACATCAAATCACCAAACTCAGAGCTCAGCCGTGTGCAGCTTCTAGTCTTGTAGAATGCGGTGAAGCCACTGCCACCCCCACCACCAACGCCACCACCTGCTGCTCCACGTTGACCCTGCTGCTGCTGGTTGCCATCTGCCCCGATTGCAGCGGTGCCATCAGCGCTGACAACATCATGCTGGCCCCACATAAGCTCGTAGTCCGGCAGCAGCTCCAGCAGCTCCTCGCTGAGCTGGCGCCCGGTGACCTGCATGACGTAACCCACCTGCGCACGTGTCACGCGGTGTACGATCAAGGGACGGCCACGGCGCTACGCCCAAGGCGACACAAACGGGTGATTTGATGGCTGATATAATTTGCCGTGTGTGCTGCCAGACAAGCCTGCATGCAGCCACAACGGCCTGTCAGCGCACGCGCGCAAGGGGATGCTGTGGCACCCCCTTGTCAACCGGCAGCCCCTGGGTCTTCTTCCACTCAACCGCCCCTGCTCCCTCCACTCCCATCCTCCCCCTCCCCCCCCGCCTGTGGGATGTATGTGATGCTCCAGAGCTGCTCGGTGTAGCGTCGCGCCACACCGGGAGGTATGCGGCGCAGCTCCTGCTCCACCACCTTTGATGAGGAGAAGGGAGGGTTGAGGTGGGGTAATGTCAGCGTTGGTGAGGGGGGGAGAGCACTTTCCTCCAGAGGGAGGAGAGTGCGGGTGGAGACCTGGGTGGGGCAAGCTCCCTAACCCTCCCTGAGCGGCAGTTGGGGCTCGGTCGCCGCGGCTGCAGCCGTGGAGATTCAGTGAGGCGGAATAGAGGAGACGGGCGCGTGCGGCCCAGCTGCGCAGGGAAGTCCCCTGACGGCTGCGTGTCACAGATGCCTGAGCCTGCTATGGCGCGCAGGACTCCGGCAGGGGCGGAGGGGCTGCCGGGCCAACGAGGCAGGTGCGCGGTTTGCAGGCAGCAGCAGGCGTGGCAGCTGTGACCAGAACGTGCATCGCCGAGCGACACCGGCTGCCACCTGTGTCAGCAGGTCTGGCAGGGCGGCGTACGCGTCCCTCAGCCGGTCAAGCTGGCCGCACACTCCGCGGTGCACCACAGCCGCCTCCTGGCCGTCCGCGGGGGTGCACCTGTCCAGGTCGATGACGTCACACAGCAGGCCCTGGCCTGGGGGTGGAGGGCGGGGGGGCGGAGGGGGTGTGCAGTCTGAGAGACGGAGCACCTAGCAGGGTCGTTTGCAAGGCAGCGGGCGGTGTGGGTGGCAAGCAGGTTTCCACCCGAGGGTTCAGACGAGCTCACGTGAGCCATGGGGGCGCTCCTGTGCGGCCAGCAATCGACCACCGCGTGCCATCCCCCCAACAAGCACAGCCGCGCTCACAAGCCGGCAGGTCGTCCGATATGGAGGCGAGCAGCTTCCTGCATATGCCCAGCCGGTCCCAAACCGTGCCGCCGCCGCCGCCGCCGCCGCCGCCGCCGCCGCCGCCGCCGCCGCCGCCCTGACGGGTCTCGCCGCCGCGATCGCGGACGCGGTCGCCCCGACCTCCGTTGGCGCCCCAGCCGGGCAGGCCAGAGGGCGATGCGTCGGCACGGAAGACGTCGCTGTGGGCCGGCCCTGCAAGGCCCCCGCCATCCGCGGCCCCCCCAAGATTGCCGCCACCGCTGTTGCTGGGCTCAGGCCAGATCGCTGCCCCGCCCCCTGTGATGCCGCCGCCGCCGCCCGAGGCAGTGCCGCCCCACAGCCCCGCCCCCCCAGCGCCAAGACCGTCGCCGCCTCTACCGGGGCCGCCGGCCCTGTCGGCACCTGCCGCCGCCGCCGCCGCCGCCACCTCCGCCGCCGCGCGCGGCGCGAGCGTCGCGGCGAGCCGCCGCAGGGCGAGCAGCTGCCCGATGCTGGCGTGAAGCTGCCGGAACGCGGCGGGCTCGGGGCGGCCCTGCTGCGCCTGCAGGCGGGCGAGCAGGCGCGGAGCGTCCTGGACCTGCGATCATCAACGGGGCGGCATCCGGCGTGGCCCCGCCAGCGAGTCGCGTCGGAGAGATTGGTAGGGGTGTGTTGTCGGGGGCAGGCAGGTTGGCGGCGAGGCTGGGCCAGTCGACGCCGCAGCGCCAAACCATATCAGTGAGATAGGCCGACACATTTGGCCTCTTGAGAGCACAGCCTTCCCTCCCAACCCCTCTCTGTCATTCCCAGGCTCGGCGGGCCATGGACCCAAGCAGCCCCCACCTTTTTCAGCGTGGCCCGCATGCTGCCCGCCAGGTCTGGTGCCGTCATGAGGGCCTCCAGGCTGTCATGGCGATCCGACAGCACCGCCAGGTCAGCCACCGGGGACAGGCACCACTGGCGCAGCAGCGACTTGCCCTGGTTTTGCAGGATTTGCATGCGTGTGCATGTGTGTTCATGTGTGTGTACTTGTGTGTGTGCACACACAAGCTGTGTGTTGGAGGCAGTACTGTGTACAAATCATGACTACCAAAGCAGCAGTGCTTTGCCAAAGCAGATGGTCTTGATCGAGGTCCAAGTGACAAAGCCATAGCGCCTCAGGTGGCGCTGCCTACGTGCATGTCATCATGAGGCCCCCGCCTCGGCACGTGCGCCTGCGGTCGCCACCCGCGTGCGCACCATCTTCGTCACGCATCTGTTGAGCAGGCCGAAGAGGCTGAACCCCTCCTTGCAGGTCCCTATCCCCATGAGCGAGGGGTGGGCCTCCTGGCGGAAAATGCTCAGGGCGTTGAGGGTTCCAG